TTTCTTGGTTTGTAAGCACTATACCCGTTCCTGTGGGTTTGACCAAAGTGATAAACGTCGGAGACCTGCATCACTTCGAGCTTTCGTCCCACATCAAGCCGTGATATAACTGCAATATTGTTCAATGCAGATTTAGACCCATATCACTCACTCACTCTGGGTCTTAATTGGATGTGAAAGTAAAAGTTGTAAATATACATCATTTAAGCTCAGAATTGAAAGCATAAACTGTTAATTTGAAATGGTAGCGTTCATCAAAATGTTTCACATTCATCGAATGCCCAAAATACCTGTAGAGTTAATGCTCGAATCACATTGTAAGATTATGCTATATCCCTGAGATACATGTACTGGTTGATGATGTTGTTACAATTCCAGCCACGACACATGAAAGTTTGTTTGTTTCTTCGTTATTTTAACGCCGCACTCAGCAATATTCCAGCTATATGACGGCGGTCTATAAATAATCCAGTATAGACCAGTGATTGATATCATGAGCATCGATCCAGGCAATTGGTATACGATGACACGCATCAACCAAGTCAGCCCGCCTGACCACCCGATCCCGTTATTCGCCTCTTGCGACAAGCATAGTCGCCTATTACGACAAGCATGGATTGCTGGAGACCTATTCTACCCCGGATCTTCATGGGTTGACATATGTTTTTAGGATCTACCATCTTGAGAATGTGATACGATCTATTGTGCACTTTAAATTACTATTTTGTTGTGATTCGTATTAATTTATTTACTGGTGCATTCGTGTTTTGTAGCATTGTTAGAAGTGGTTGGTATTCGGTATGCGACAAGGTGAGCGACATTACTTCATCGTTGATACAGCTGTATCACGACGACTGTCAGGTTTGATTCGGTAATAGTGTGGATTGTGCCATTGTGTCCATTCAATACTCATTTTAATGTATAACAACATATCTGTGTCACATGGACTTTTCTGTATTGAGCATGCAGATGACATATGCCCATTCATTTATAGTTTACGCGTTGTATTTTCATTAAACGTTTTCTGACAAGCGGCAGCAAATTGATATATATGGAAAAGACCTTAAATTGAAATCAATTTATGTTTTGCATTATAGTTCTACAAACTTGCATCAGCCACATATTGACCCTTTCTAAATTTCATGCATAAAGTAATCAAGACGTTTTATTGTGTTTTAGGTTATGCTTTGCACAAACATGACATGTTCATGACATCGTGGTGACGATACAAATACCATACTTCGCTGACAGCACGATTCGTTTGATGTTATTGATCGTTGCAATAATATAATGACATGTGACGTTCACATCACAGGTGTTGGAAATAGATGTCAACTGTGTTATGCTCAGTATCATTCGTACAAATTACTGCCTGTCATCGACATAAAAAGAGTTCCCGTTTTCAATTAACGTCAGTTTGATGTTACATTTAACTTATGAGAAAATATTATATTTCAGTTTTATGTCACACTTGTCAATATTTGGACAAGGCAATACCTTGCTTCTGGTGTATGACTGCTGCTGTGGTAATTGATCTAAAAGGTCGTTTTGTAATATACACGGATGGAATCATAATTTTATGACAATAAATAATAACTTGTAATAGTTGTTGCAAGTTTCATGATCATATATTTATTTATATGTATATGTTATACATTTAATGTTTCGAAACAGCTGACATTTCACTGTAAATATATATTTAATGAGTACGCATATCAAAAATACTATTGGGCATATACAGACACAAACGTATCATGAATTCAAACGTAACGTTGCACAGTCCTAGCTGAATGATTAGCGCTTTAATAAAACTAATATAATATACACAGTATCATTTGTGTGTTTAATTTTTGGTTTAACGCAGCACTTAACCAATATTCCAGCTGTTATACGGCGGCCTGTAACTATTTGCGTCAGGATCCGACAATCCAGTGATTGATATTATGAACAACGATCCACGCTGTCGGGGTACTATGACACACAATCAAGCAAGTCACCAAGTCTAACCACTCGGACCACTGAGTTAGCCTTTACGACCAGCGTAAGTTACTAGGGACCATTATTCTTACCCTGAATTCCCATGGGGTTCACACAGTATTAATATGTCGTGTTAACTGCAAATCTACAGGTTAACATTTTAGTTATTCATAAAACTAATTTGACACATATCACGACCGATCAGATTAGATTATATAGAAGATATTGATTCCAAATACCAGCAGACCAACTGATTAAAACGTCCGACATTCAAATGTACAGACGGTGGAGAATCTGATAGTTAAAGCTATTCTCTTTAAGTACATCGACCTTTATTTGTTGAAGGAAATGAATACCGGGATCTCACATACCCTTACAGCAACATCAGCTATATGTATACACTGGTGCGGGTGTTTACATTAACCATGCATCATCGGATATCGCATGGCAATACTTACTACAGAACAGTCGAGCCAAACTACATAATTTACAGGCTTGTGTGAACAGTTGTCCCAAGAGAAGGGGTCAGAGCGTGCACCTTGCAGCACGCCTGGATCATGATCTGGCACCATATGCTGGTACCAGGAATACACCTCGACGGATTATCTCTAATAAACAAACCCTCATAACTCTGAGTGAAGGGGCCGATGTAATTTGAAACAGTCCTGTCTGTTCAAGATAAGCAATATCGCATTTCTATAGTTGCGCATAAAATCTCATATCCTTCAGTAAATAAGCGCACGTCTAACATTATGCAAGTAATCAGTGGATCCGTGTGTTTACTATAAAGGACGTGCATCACGCCTGTAGACATGCTGCCCGGTGTGGGATGGTTGGTGTTGCTGATGAATTAGTGTTTATGAATCTGCTTCAGCATCATATGACGTGCTGCCACAAAACGGAACGAGCTTGTGGCTGTTAGTAACAGACATGATGAAGTACTTTCAGATTAGTATCATACTCTGTTCAAATCGACATCTAGCAAACCTTTTTCTGGAATTGTACATGTTCAATCAGAAAATATTTATATTGTTGAATGTTGATATTAATTAAATTGATTTATGGCTTCTTTAACATAACAGAACGGTGTTTTTTAACATGTTCATACATGTATGAATAGTATAAGACATTCTTCTAGGCTCATACACCTTTTGGCTAAAACTCACATCCCCTGTTTGAAAATGTTAAAACAATTTCTGGCACAAATTGATACATTAAGGATGCAGTCTAAATAGTTTCAACAACACATTCTACATATGCTAAACTCACAATTATAAGAATTTGATCACTTTAACAATACAGTGTATGTATGTAAACTATGCTTTCACTCGTTTGGTAATTATCGCCTGGAAAACATACAGGCGTTTCGAGCGTTACTCCAATATATACAAACACAAACCAATAAACATGCTGTGATGCTTATATTTATAACCCGCTACTGCACGCCGTGACTCTTGGGTAATCATTGAACAACTTGGGATCCCGACTGCTCGACATGTTCACTAGGTGTTGAGGCGTGTGGCTTCTTCACCGAAAAGTGTTATGTCTAGTGTCAGAGCATGTTACGTACACCAAGGGTTAGGGGCTGTCCATGGCCAATTTTCCGTATTCTAAATGGTAATGAAGGTGGATGGAAGTTTTCATATAATCTATGAATAAATCATGACAATAAACAATATTGATATGACGGTTGTAGCTATTATGGTTATAATAAATAGTTATTTTATGTCTTTGGGCCCCTTTTGGATTGAGAGATAGAAATGGTCCCCAGTGACCTGTGCTTGTTGTAAAAGGGCACGTAAGACGGATCGAGTGGACAGGCTCTGTGACTTGGTTGAATACCTGTCTTTAATGGACTGTCTGGTCCAGACTCGAATATTAGCCCGCTGCTGTGAAATGGCTGGAATATTGCTGACTGCAGCGCTAAATAATAAACACTAACCTAACATTATGTCCTTGGGTCATAATTTTGTTTCATAACCATCAGATCTTATTTCTCGCTACCGCTAAACAAAGCTGATTTTTATGGGATTGGTTTCATATATATATATATATATATATATATATATATATATATATATATATATATATATATATATCAATTAATTGTCTGCCCTGACTTGAATATATATATATATATATATATAAGTTAATTGTCTGCCCTGACTTGAATATTAGCATACTACACACAAATAGCAATAGACACTCACTATAAATGATGTCTTCTTTAAACAGGGTCATATCAAGGATATTAATATGAAGTATTCAATTCACAATTTTAATATGGTTTTCTTTCTGTAATATCTGTACCTATGCATGTCACTGATAAGCGATATCCACATAATTTATGAGCTGGATGTGATATAGGGAACACCTCATTTCTGTGACCTACCGAGGTCAAAGGTTAGAGTTGAGTTTCACAGCAAGAACCACATGGTATCGAAATGTGATATTCTCTCTGATAACTTGTCAGTGGGGCTAACGGAAATAGGGCTAGATTTACAGTTAAATGATAAGTAGAAAATTAGTCCGGTATTGCATCGGACCAAGTCAAACGTATATAGGTATGTATGTCTCCGCATGCCTATCGCAGAACAAACTGATTCACAGATAAAGGGATGGGTTTCATTTCTAAATGGTAATGTGCCTTATATGTACTCGGCGATAGCCAGTATTGGCGGTATATTTGCACGTATCAACCGTGTATTCCCCTCATTCATAACCAAGAGCAACACTCTATAAACAATTACCATCACACCATCACGCCGTTAATCTACGCGTGTTGTGTTTAATAGACTGACATTGACAAAGCGATTACCGTTCTACATCATGTCAATTAAGTGATTATGGTCATTATGGGGAAATAATAGCTTCGAATAATAGAACAAGTCTGTCGTATTTGGTACTATAGGTTACATCAACATAACAAGCACGTACCTTCACGTCTCTTTTTTAGTTAATACTGTTATCAATCACTACACATCAACATTGTCACAGGTAAAAATGCAATTGACACCACTCACCTGTATGTTGTAGCACTCGTCTTTACATACGAAGTGTTCATATGCCTGGCCCACAACCAGGAGTGACAGTATTAATGGTAAAGCCGACTGGTCATGGAGCAAACTGACCATCATGGGGCTAGTATAGTTTATCCAGTCTCACATCCTTGCTTCATGCAGCAAGGCGAACAGCCAACATCTGTTCCAGGCTATGAACTTCACTTCATCCCGGCATTGCGCTTGGGTGAGAAAAAAAGCAGGAACTATTTTTAGAATCTCCTCCTCTCTTTGTGTGTCTCTGGAAATTATTCAAGACGTTTGTATGCTTTAGTGCATCATGAAATACTAATGCACTCGCACAATCCCTTGCTACTTCGATGCTGTCTCTGACCAACTGGAACAGTTAGTGTTTCAGAAATAAGAAGCTCAATATTGCCTCGCGACGGCCTGTCCACGCGACCTACGCGGATGTTAACGTAATTACATATCCCTTTAAATATGATCAGAGGATGTTCTTGGTGCACAGACCTAATTATTTCACTGAACCCAGTGTCAAGTTTCCGTTAGGCGCGCGAGCGATTATTGAGAATGTTTAAATGTTCGGAAAATCACTGGCGCTATTTGAAGCCGCTTCCACCCAGAGTGGAGAACGATTGAAATTAAAGGTGAGCTTAGGTCTGTCTGTATGCTGTAATTAATTGGCTTTTTAGAGCACGTGACTTGAGGTTAGATCTTCCTCGGCATGGGTGTGATAAAGAAGTTTTTATGTGTCGCCAAAATAGAACGATGGAAGGAGATTTAAGAGGCAAGACAAAGTTCCTGCGACCCGACGTTGGAGTTCTACTCCTAATCAGTAGAGAGGAGTACCGCATCCGACTGTCACGATAGTCCATTTAGTCTTTAGCTCTCTCGGAGCGGCTACTTTCGTTGCTAATATGGTGCATCATGTTGTTAGCACGCGTCACTAATCCAGGCTGCAGTGTTTGGAGTAATTATTTGATTTCATGATTTATTGACGTGTTGATTGCGACCATTCCAACAGTGAACAGGTCGATAAAGCACGGGAATTATAGGGAGTGACTGGTGGGTGCCAGAGATGCTATCTTGAAGTTTGTAAGGTTCAAAGCAGTCCATTATAGATATGAACTCACTGTACAACTACCGCTAAGTCTTTGTCAAATGCTCGGGCATTCTTTGTGTAGATCGCAAAGCAAAGTCAGATTACGTATATCCTTGCCAAAGCTCGGGCACTTCAGACATAAATATCAACACATAGTCATATTACGACTACCGTAAAGCTGCATACAATGATCGGGTACTTTGGATGAAACCCCAAAGCAAAGTCACAGGAAATCATTGCTAAAGCTCGAGCACTTTGGCATTAATCTCAACGAATAGTCATATTACAACTACCGTAAAACCTTTGGGCACGTGTGGCCTTGTCGTCGAAAGCGCCGCCATTCGCTGTGCAGAGTGCGTTCCTTGGGCACGCTAGTAACCTATTATCGTGGGTTCGAATCCCGGTTCGCCCTGATAATGTCTCTAGGGTAGTCACCACCATACCCGTGCTTGTGTGTTTCACCGAAGTTATAAATGTCTGAGACCTGTATCACTTCGGGCTTTCCTCCAACATTGGTGAGTATGGTTTTAAGCCGCTTTTAACAATATTCCAGCGGGGAACACCAGAAATGGGCTTCACACATCGTACACATGTGGGGAATCGGACCCTGGTTCTTCGGCGTGACGAGCGAACGCTTTAACCACGAGGCTACCCCCACCGCCCCTCTCTAACATTAATCAGACTCGCCGTGATATACGTGGAATACTGATCATGGCGTTAAACAAACCCAGTCGCTCACGTTATGAAATGCTCGGACCCGTTGTGTGAACATCGGACGCATAATATATCACCTTACGACTACCGATAATCATTTGCATAAATCGTGCGTATTTCATTATGAAACGGGAAATTGCGTTAATATTTCTCCATTCAATATCAAAAGGATAAATGGATGTATATATAACTGCTTTCTATTCTCCAGTTGAACGGTAATTTAGGCCCGGTTAGAGACCCACACCCACGCCCACACCCACACCCACACCCACACCCACACCCACAGTACAGACGGCCTAACTCACCATTCGTTTCCTCAAAATGACATAGTTATAAACTTTTTCGGTTAATAAACCGGTAACTTAAAGTCAAATTCGAATGTCATTTTTTAACCTTTGTTACAAAAAAGGGTCTGTCATATATTGAACTTGACACGTGTAAAGTTGGAACCTGAAGCACCTCACAATCAAAGGACATTGATCATATATGCGAGAGTTGTTTTATACACCAGTAACCTCGTATTACCCTTTCCCAAAACAGTTTTCTTGAATTATCGTGGAATGCCATACAATTGGGAACACACAATGCTGCAAAGCCTCCACATCAGATAATAAAGCTTGCTCGTCCACGCACTGTCATTGCTATCATGTTCAACACTGGTGACAGGCATGGCATTTATTACACAAACCAATCAGTTTAAAATTCAGCTACTTAATTCTACAAAGACATTTGGCTGAGTATTTTATCTACAGGCACAATGAATTCATTACATTTTATAACATGCTTCGTCCCCTTTCAATATGATGCTCATTCGACAGATGTCCGCACTGTTGTGTGATTTGTCAGTGTAGAGGAATGTGTTCAAGGTTTTGCGTTACGTTATTGTAGAAGGGCAACCAGAGATGTAAGGTTAAGTTCGCCCATGTAATTTCTGAAAGGTTTTACTTACGTAGTTATATTTCAATATTTTTGTTCGCTTGCCTTTTACTATGTCAATCCTTTTTTAATTAGAATGTGTTTTTCTTAAGTACAGAATTGACAACGAACAAGTCTTTGTCTTCATTTTTTTCGTCTTTTGCGCATTGTCCACGCTGTGCGGTGTTCGTCTTTTGCGTTTTGCGATCCAGTACATATGACGCACGGTTTTTTTTGTCTGCTCCTAACCGGATTGAGTTTAAGGCATGACCTTTCATCGTGTTGCTATAGCGACCGTAATAACAATAAAACTCATCGTATTGATGCATTTAGAATTGGGTTACACCTATCAGATATTTCTGAAAGTGTATATCAGATACAAATCTAAAGAGCGTAAATTGGTGCAATGTCTTTATTAACATGATAGCTTCCACATTTTTGTATTCTGGAGTTGGTACATGAAGGACAGGTAAATCCAACGCTGAAACATGAAACATGCGGAGGGAGGGGGGGGGGGGGGGGGGGGGGCAGTCGTTAAGTTACAGCTGCAGTACATCCACGATACAGCCCTGATATCACAGTAACGGATTGAATGATTGGAGAGTATCAAACTAACAGTTATTAGCTTGTGGTCAGCGTGGTCCGGGCACGGTGACACACAGCCACTTCACACCAGCAGATCCCCGTGTTCGCCCATTCCCGGTGTACCCCACCTTGATACGGTTGGAATAGGTCTACAAGCGGATAACACTGTAAATCCCTCTCTCCTTGGGTCAGATCCATACCCCGTGCATGTCGGATGGTTACGTTGTATCATGTGGCTGATTGTTTGTCATCGTAGTCATGCTATCGACCACTAGTTTGGCTGGTCCAGGCTGGATAATTTACAGGCAGTCGTGAACTTGTCAGCTATAAAGAATGCGGCATATGCGACCTTTCGAGCACTCGCTAGTGGACATACGGTATTTTCTCTAAATGACGCCCCGGCGTATATTTGAGACCCGGATACTGTAAAAATACAAATAATGATAATAATAAGTCCTCTAATAAAGCGCATAACTCCAACGCAATGTATGCTAAAAGCGCTGTATTAGTAGTAAGCCGGTCAATGGATCAGTGTGCACTTTAGAGTTCATTCTCAGCTCTCTGGGGAGTATACAACCCAAGCTGCCTTTGAGGCGCTAAAAGGCTAATAGTCAAATTACCATCAAATTATATCTTCACCGTAGGTTACACATGTATGTTTCATTATGTGGTTTCTTAATTTACTTTGTATAAGTTGTCCCGAGGGGGCATGGGTGGCCCAGTCGTCTAAGGCGCCGCGATTCGCTGTGCAGAGTTGCGTCCCCTGGACACGCCCGAAATCTATGATTGTGGGTTCGAATACCGGTTCACTCCGATTATGTTTCTAGGTTTGTCAGCACCATACCCGTGCTCGTGGGTTTCACCGAAGTGGTAAACGTCTAAGACCTCCCACATTAAGCTGACACGCCGCAATATAACTGGAATAATGTTAAAAGCGGCGTTAAACCCAACTCACTCACTCACTAAGTTGACCCGAAGGGTATTAGAAACCAGGCGCGTATAAGTGACCTGTGTATTCTTCCAACTCGTTTTTCACCCGGCGTTCATTTGCAGGTCAAACATCTATTAGAGAACATACAGTAACCTATTCTCAACAAACACCAGACATATAGACTTACGAGACACAAACAAAACTATGCTGTAATAAAACATGTGCAATTAATTCATGATTTAAAATATGATCAATAAAAATAGGTAATATCTGGGTATATATCTCACATGTTGTGAACAGTAAGGGGTTTACAAAATATTTCACATGAACATTTATCAATAGATGATATAAAGCAGGATATTTTAGTTAATATTTTATGCCTGGGTTTCGAGAACAGGATAACCAATAAGTTAATGTGTTTCATTCAACTGATTGTGCTTCAAAGTGTTCACGCTATCTCTCCTCCACTGGGGTTATTGGACCTATTATGGGTTAGTGTTCCGTAACCATGGTGTCATTATCTGATCAAAAACCTGTCAAACCCTTTTCAAATGTTAACATATCAATCCAAGAATGCTAATGGTTTGAGTTGAGAGTGGATGTGGTTGGATGGGAGTTTGAGAGAGAGAGAGAGAGAGGGGGGGAGTTAGGTGGTTTGAATTGTATTTGAGATAATAATATCTCAAATGTTGGCTTCATGTGGAGGAAAGTATCCCCGTAAATATTTCCCAGAACATTTATTTTTTACCATACATTGAATGGAAATCACATAAAAAGGGCCCCCCATGGCTTACATGGAAATCGGGTGGTCAGGCTCTGTGAATTGGTTTGTTGCACGGCATCGCAACCCGAAGTCGTGGTTTATTGTTCGTGCTTTCAGCCTCTGGTTCTCTTGGTCCAGAGTAGATCACAGATTGCCGTGATACAAGGTTTGCTGACTAAAACGTTTACCTGACTCCCCATATGGTTGTGCCTGTGTTCCTTACATATGTGCTTGTGTTCCTGTATGGTTGTGTCCCTGTATGGCTGTATTCCATATGGTTGTGCCTGTGTTTGCCAACCCTCTTGTACTTCATTTATGGATGTGATGCCAAATGTTTCAACGGAATTTGCTCTGAAGATTTGACTTCGTGGTGGTGGAGAAAGTGGTGGGCCACCAAGGTCCTTTCCTGGGTTACAAATCTTATACATCATGTATCAGGATACTGCTGATGACGGATCATGGGGATATGTTCAGTCAGGTCAACTTCGGATCTTGCGGACGACTT